CCCACAACCTGAAAACCTCTCAGCTGCAGTATGTTTCTCAGAGTAAAGAAACAATCTTGACCGAGTGTCTTCACCACCCCTTGGGAAAACTGTTCCAACAGTGAATTGCCTCTTCTCCCCACCTCTTGGTAACTACTCGTATCTTACTTGATACTCTAAAATTGTCTAGCTTCAACTCCTAGACATTGGGTCCCACAGAGTATTTGTCTGCCATACTGGAGCCCTCTGCTATCAGAAACCTTCTCTGTCTTCCTTTAAAAGGTTCCTAATGAAGCCAGGGACCCCTAGGTCCTCCCCAAATACTCCAGGGACCCTAGACCCATCCGGCTCCTTTGAAAATCCCAGTCCTGTGTTGTTAGGGAGGTTCTCAGGCTCTTTCCACCATGCTGCCCAGCTCCACAGACTGTGCACCTTATGGATGCCACCCCTCCCACTCACAGCCTCAGGAAGCGACAGGGGAAGTCACAACAGTAAAAGGATTGTGAAGATTAAGCGTTGATCAATGAAATGGAGCAGCCAGTGACAAGGTGGACCAGCCAGCTTCAGGTAAGTAACCAGCTGTCTGTGGCCACCATTTGGGGCCCTCTGGTTTAGACCAATGTCCTGTCCAGGGCTTGGGCTTTGCAAGGCAGGGGGGTGGTGTTGCACTGTACTAGAAGACCACACTCCTTCCACTGCACCTGGGCCATCGCTCTCAGGGAGCACAGATCCTTCACTTCACTGCAGTACTGGGGGACTGGTTGCAGGGGGACCTATGGCCATGGCCCTTGACTGCCCTCTTACAGCACAATGTTGGGCAATCCTCTCCCATCTCACTGTAAAGACAGGATAGGGGGTACAGCTCACAGGTACCATCCTGCTGTGCTCCTGCCTCTAGGGCTCAGAAGCATCACACAGAACAGGCAGTTCAGTGGCAAACTAAGAAGTCTGACACACTTGCTAATGAGGGGTCCAGAGGCTACAGATACCAAAGCCAAGCCCCAGGGAAAGCCTAGACAATCTGCATCCCTGCCTGCCTTCTGAGTCAGGGCCTGTGGCTCTGATCCCACAAGACACCAAGTCAATGACACATGACTTAGAGCTCAGCACATTCTCGAGCACCTTGTAAAATCGGGGCCAGTGCTGACAGAAGGTGCAGCAGTTCAGGGGTATGACTGATGCAGGGCAACACCACCCTCTGGCGCAGGCTGCAGCAAGCAGGGATAGGGGCAAGCACTCAGCAGCAACTTACGTGACAGAGCACTGCGCAAAGGCGAGATATTCCAGTAGCACATCCAGCCCCTTGTTCTCCTCATTCAGGAACTCCTGGACCCACCTGGAAGAGAGGACAGGCATTAGCCCTTGCGGTACTACCTTGACTTTCTCTTTTCCCTCCTCTCCCTTTGTGTCTAGACTGGCTTCACCCTCCCTGTGAGCTGGGTTGTACCAGCACTAGCTTTGTCAGGCCCACCAGGAGGGTGGGTCCCCACTCTGCTTAGACTGAAGACAGCTGCAGTGAGAAGCACAGGAAGTGCCCCCATGTCTTTCTCAGGACGAGACATGGCAGGGTGGGAGACCCTCTAGCAGTGCCACCTTTGTTCACTGGCCAAAGCCACCTGGAGTGAGGCCTGAAGCTCTCTGCTCCCTCCCCACAGCCAAGGGAAACATGGAGGATGCATCAGTCCCAGCTACACACTCTAATTCGGCCACCCATCTTGCTCAGGGCAGACAGCAAGGTTACAATGCAGCCTGATGAAGATGCAAGTGGTGTCCACCTAACACAGCACTGACCTGGCCTGATTCTGACAGGTTTCACAGCCAGGCCCTTCTGTGTCCTTGGGAGTAGTTACAAATTCCACATCTCTTGTTGCATCCTGTCCCTGTTACTCCAAAGATTCCCTGCTTTGATTTTCCTGGGGAAGCCTTTTTCTGGTCCCAGGGGAGCTCTCCCCTTGCCTTCCCACACACATCCACAGATTATGGATCCAGCAGGATTGTTGCCACCCCCCTCTCACAGCCAAGGCACAGAGCTCCAGAGAGACTGTGGGACATGCCCAAGGTCTGGCAGGGAGTCTGTGGCAGAGATGGGAACTGAAGTCACGTGTCCCAAGTCTCTGTCCAGTGCCTTAACCCCAAGAGCAGCCTCCTATCTCATGATGGCATCAAGCAGGAGACACCATCCCATCCTCATCCAAGGCTTCTGCCCACATCATGGGAAGGCAATGGGGGCTTCTATTCAAATGCTCCTTGGAGCAGATGGTTATTTGCAAAAACCTCCAGACTTCTGAATCCTTGACCTTAGCAGACTGCACATCTAGTGACCTGAAGCCTCAGAACAACACTAACCACTACATGATAAGAGCCTCCCACTCCCTCCTCAGTGCTGGCATGCAGCTAGCTTTGGGGCCCTTCCACATGTCCAAATGCCACTGGACAGTCGTAGTGCCAGGCAGGGGGCTTGGCCACCTTCTACCCTTACCCATGCCCAGATGAAACTATGGGTGCTCTGCTGCTTGTAGACCAGTGCTTGGGTCCAGCACACTGTGAGAGTGCCAGTCACCCTGGGTGCACTGCAAGGCAGTAGGCTGGCCTCACAGAACAGTGAGATTCAACAGACGACAGGCTCTAAGTCACCCAGGGACTTTGTGCAAAGTGATGAGCAAGTGCTAAGCAGTCCCATGCTCCCAGACAGGGTCCTTGATGCCCCATTCTTAGCAGCTCTCCAGGTAACTTTCATGAGGCTTCTGTGCACAGGATCCAGTTGTTTACGGAGAAAGGTCTGAATGTCAAACCTACAGGGAGTCTCTCCTCCCCTCACATGCTCAGTGGCCTTGGAACAAGAGAAGAGCTACCATTTTAGAGAAGCCAGACTCCTTTTGGATGGATGAGGACCAGAAAACCAACTTCTCCAGAAGCAGAGGATATAAATGTTTCTACTGCAAGGAGGGTATTAATCCTTGTGAATCGCTGACATTAAACATGTACATCTCTACCAAACAGCTGACATTCTCTCTCATTGTCTCTCATCCACCAAACTGTCTCTTCCCCTCCCCTCTGCTGGATAACATTCTCACAAGTGGGCTAAGATCACCACATCAGGGACCCATAGGCTCAGAATGGAAAGATCTGTGTGATCCTTTACCTAGATTGGTACTCTGAAATGCTCAGACTCTGCCTTGGGCTCTCATAGACTGCTCCCTTGGTGTTCTGAAGAGGCATTTCAGCACCACCTGAGCACAGGGTCTAACTGGTTGTTTCCCTATGTTGGCAGTAGGCATTTGGACTTCCTGGGAGTTTGGACCTCTCCCAATCCAGAGTAATGCCTGTTTGAGAATCTTCCTGGATCTGGATCAGCCAGGCAGACAGCCTGGGGTTCTCAAGGAAGTCACTGTGAGATTTCAGCAGTTATGATGGTAGCAATGTTGCAAACTCAGAGGTAGGAAAGCTTCCCCTTGCTGATCTGTCCCTTTCCCAGAGAGGGTCAAATACAGCAATTGAAACCTAATAAGAGCAGCTACAGAGGAGTTTGGCAGGCACATGCTATCAATAGGCCTTCACCCAGGGACTTCTGCTTCACAGACCAGCAGCTCTACTACTTGGGCAAAAGCAGGTGATCTTGGAGCTTTGGCTATAACTCATACTTACATTCATTTTTCTGGGAACTATTGGCAGGCAACATCTAATGCACCTTGGTAATGTGCATGCAGTTGGCATATTTGTCGCTTCAACCTGGGCCTTCAGTCCCCAAAACCCATGCCCCCTCACTTGAGCTGTGAGTCAGATGGAGGCTGCATAGTTGCTAGGACTGGCCAGCAGAAAGGGAATAATACTGCATGCTATGCCCAGGCATTACTAGGGAGTTCTTTGTGGATCCTTACCCAATGTAGTTGGTCCGCAGGGAGATTTCCAGCTCCCGAAGCACCTGTGTGGACTCCTGCACGCGCCTCTTAAACTGGGTTTTGAAAGGGAGACAGACAATTTACAGAATAGCCATGGCTCCCGAATCATTCATTTTTGCTCATATACACTAACTCAAGATGTTTTTTACATAAGGGTGGTTGAAGAGTTTACAGCAGAGAAAGAGAAAGAGAGAAGAGGGGAGAGGATTATCACCAAGGCAGTCGACCAGTCAGGGGTCACCTTTCTGCTGACTCCGCCTGTCTCCAGGTAGCTCTTCAGTTTCTGGATGTATGCAGAGGGTGGGTTCTTAACCTGGACCCGTTCCTGTGAGGAGTGAGAAAATACAAATACTCAGGTCCAGCCTCAGCCTGGGAAGGAGGAAACAATGCCTCTAGTGTTGTTGAGAGTATACATGCATGCACGTCTGCGGATGAACACGTATAAGTCTATGAAAAATGCATGTGTTCCTACAAGTGTGATGGACCTGTGGAGCCTGGCACACGTGGCAGGCCAGTGAAAAACCACTGCAGAGGATCAGGGAAGAAGATTCAACTCCACATGACTTGACCACCAGTGGGGTTAGCTACATGTGGAGCTTGGCTCTTCACCAGAACTCTTCCCAAATCTGACAGGTTTGCCACCCTACTAAGGGACATAGGTCTCAAATGGGAACATAGAAACCAGTTCAGATACAACAGGAAATCTCCTGACCCTGCAAAACTCAGAATCATAGAGCTGCAGGGTTGGGAGGGACTGCAAGAGCCATCTAGTCCAGGCCCTGCACAGTGCCCAGTGTAGGTCCTAAACCATCCCAGCCAGATACCCATACAGCCTCTTCTTGAATCGCAACTTTTTTCTCTCTCTCACTGCAAGAGAACATGTCATCATCACACAAAAGCCTACGTCATGACGTATCACCATGGTGTCACACATGGTTCTGGGGGCATCTCACCCACAAGTAGTGATACAGATGCATCTCCTCCCCCAGGTTGGAAAACCACAGCAATGAAAGTAAAATATGTACAGAAACTGCCACAGAAGCCCCTGAAGTGCCCCTCCACAACAGACCACAGTCCTCACCACCTCCAGCAAACAGGCTATGGGCCCTGACAGAGAACACTTACATTGGTATAAGCATCTTGTACACCAGTGTAAAAAAAGCCAATACACAACCTACAACCTTACACTGGGGTAAATCTGCCCAATTCAATATAGAGGTGCCCCTGAAAGAATCAGGGATAACAGGTTACTGGTGTATGCTGGTTTGAATTACAACCTCATAGATGTTGTTTGTCCACAGCTTATCCCAACATCACTGTTTGCTAAAGGCAACCTACTAGTGAGGTGCTGCAGTAGCCACCTATTCCGGCAGCATGTCTTTCTACTTAGATCCCAGTGTTATTTACACCAATGTAAACCTGTTCTCTGTCCACACCTTACAACACAGTCTCTAACAGACAGACTGTGCCTTGATGCTACTAAGCAGCTGTCAGCTCCTGACACCCATTTGAGACTTAAAAGGCAGCTAGAGATAAATAAATATTATCCTTATAATCCAGAGAGTAATGAAGTGACCTGAACAAAACTAAGGCAGAGGTCAGAGCAGAACCCAAACTTCCTGATGTCCAGTCCTGTGCTGTAACTGAAGACTGCACTTCCTTCCTCCTCACATGACAGATACTAGACCAGCCTCTTTCCCTCCCTCATATGACAGAGTATTGAGCAAGAAGCACCACTGCCCAGTATCAGCTGGTAAGCAGCACATCTATCAGTCACCCCTCATGCCACAGTAAATATTGTGCACAGGCACCATGTATAATGTGTCCCAGGCTGGCCAGAGTGGACACCATGCTCAGTGTGCATCCCAGGCCTGTGTGCAGAGCCAGTGTGGTGCATACCACATACAGCATGTGGGGCAACTCTGGACCCAGGAGCAGCACCCCAAGATGATGTGTTGGGGACTCCACATGACAGATCCAGCCGATGGGTCATATCTTCAGGCACAGATAGAAGGGACCATTTTCGTTCAATCTGGCCACAAAAAGCAGCTTATAGCTGTGACCAAGTGCACAGCTGCTGGCAGCTTAAAAAATGGCCGATTGGGTGAAAATCTGAACCTTCATTGCATGAGGCGTCAGATTAAGACTTTCAAAACAGACCCTCTTCTGTAACTTCTGTCTGCATTGCCTACCAGCCTTGATCTGTTTTCAGAATGAGAGGGGGGAAAGGGAGCAGAGGGATTTTGTCCTGGGGGGTTTTCAGCCCCTGCTAGAGGGTGGGGCAGGTGTACTGGAGCCCCCTGAAGTGGGGGACTCCAATACACCCACTCCACTTTCCAGAGCTAGCTGGGCTTTCCCCCTCCCATTCTGAAACAGAGACAGGCTGGGAGAGAGGGGCTATTGCTAGGGAAAAAAACCAGTTGCAGGCTCCCAGCCAGCAGCTAGATTCCCCTCCCCACTGGAACCAGTGGTGACTTTGTTTGTTCCAGGGGATCATTGTAAGTCAGACCACTTCCTGCAAAGCATTCTCAGTTATTTCAGGGAGCTGAACTTCTGCCTACACCCTTTGACTCCTCTGATATAATCTATTCACTTTTACTTCTCTTTGTAAATTCACTTTTACTACTTTTCTCATCGCTTTTCCTTCCACATAAAAAATAGTTTATTCCTGCTAGTCCATTCCTAGCACCTGATGAATCAGGTTGCTGCCTGTGAAAGCACATGCCTCTCTGAACCAGTTAGCCTCCAAGATGCCACTCTACCACACTGTTTGCCATACACAGAATAGAAAGGCAGGGCCTACTGCATGGAGCTTCCATGGAGCTTCCTAGGGACGGACTGATACAGAGAGACAAGGAAAACACAAAGAAACAGTAGTCACCAGGATGGGCAGTGGCATCACCACACCTGTGGCTTATTTGAACATCTAACAGGCTGAAGGCTAGCCCATCAGAGGTAGAAGCTGATCTCTCCATAATGAATAAATCTGGAGAGGAGGATGCTGCAGTACCTGAGGCATGAGGGCGAGAGTTTTAGCTGGTGGAAGGAGAGGAAATGCCAAATCTTAGAAATCTATACAGGCTGACTGCAAAATTAGATATAGCCAGGGTGTCAGCACTGAAAGACAAAGAGGAAGTCAAAGAGGATGCTCAGACTATGGCCCTGAATGAGAGATGGGATAGTGAGGGTGTTTGCAGTCATTGAGGAAGGAGGTAGTGAGGAGGGAAGATTAAGAGCTCAGCTGCAGTCACGTTGAGCTTGAGCTGATGGCTATTCATCCATGAGGATATTTGAGAGACAGGCAGAGAGTTTGGTTTAGACAGAAGAAGACAGATATGGAATAGAGAGGATGATCTGTGAGTCATTAGCACAGAGAAAGTAGCTGAATGTGTTCTTGAGGATGAGATTGCCCAGAAGTCAGGCAGAGGGAGAGGAAAGGGGGACCAAGAAGAGAGGCCTTTGGGACCCCCCCGAAAATCTGGAGAAAGATGAGGAGGAAACTCCAAATGGCATGTTGAAAGAGGCATTAGAGAGGCAGGAGGGAAACCAGAATAGGGAAGAGCCTGAAAGCTGTGGGAAGACAAGATCTCAAGAGGAGGAGCCTGGCAGATGGTGCTGAAGGGACAAGGATTATGGGGGTGGGGGTTCTGGTTCTGAGCTCTGGCTAAAGACAAAGCCTATCCCAAGGGTGGTTTCAGTGGAGAGCAAGGGGTGGAAGCCAAAGGGAAGGGCATTTAGGATGGAGTTGAAGGTGAGACACTCAAGATCACAGTGCCCTCCAGGGCCCTGGGGGTTGGCTACCAGGCAGGCCAGCATCTGATTCTGAGGGAAACCAGCAAGGAGGGACAGGGCATACTTCATCCCACTGACCTTGGGCAAGTTGCTTACAGAGGGAGGCCTGTATCACCAAGGTCTCAAAAGTCTTAACTAGGGATAATGCATGGGATGTTTAAGGGATGCCTGTGGCACCAGGGAAACTGGAAGCCTGTCTTCTCTCACAGTGTGTTCTTCTGGTTGACTAATATTTTCATGATCTCGCTGGTGAAATCAGCTCATGACCCAAAGTTAGCCTAGGAGGACCCGTTAATACAGAGGAGCAGTAGGCTGTCCTAGAACAAGAACTGGATGGCCTAGAAAAATGGAGTAATGGGATAACATTTGAGAGAAAAAAATTACAAGACTGAGCACTTGCAGCTCTTATGCATGTGCACAAAGCCTGCTGCATGTCAAAGCAGATTCGATTAATGGAAATTGATACGCTCTGGCAGCCTTCTGCATCACGTGTATCAGCATCGTCATGCATCTCTGTACTGAAAAAGTGGCAGTGGGGTGCTTTGAAATAAAACACGTTTAATGAGCTTTAGTTCAAAGTGCCCTGCCACCATTTTTTCAGTGGGGGGACGCATGGTGATGCTGATACACGTGATGCATGGGCCCTTTTAATAGAGTGGCTTGCTAATTAAGAGCACCCGGTGCTGTGTCCCAGCACATGTCAAAATGCCCTGGGAGACTAACAGTGAAAACTTCTGCTATAAGCTAGAAGCTTATCAGCTGGAAATGACAAGAGCAGGAAATGGGCCTGCATATACTAATTGATTACAAGATGTCTATGAGCTTCCAATACAATGCCATCATGAGAAAGGTAAATATGATCTTAGGGTATATCCACTAAAGTGTTTCCAGTAGAGCTGGGAAGTATTACTGCCACTGTACAGGGCACTAGTGAGACCTCACTTGTAACTGTGTGTGTAATTCTGCTTATCCACCTTCAAGAAAGATGAACTCAAACAGCAGGAGGTGCAGAGAAGGGCTATGTGGGTGGTCAGGGGAATGGACAGCTCATCCCAGGAGAGGAGGTTGGAAGTGCTCAGTTCATTCAGCCTAGCAGAACAACATCTATGTGGAGACACAATTGCTCTCTATCAGTACATTGGGAGGGATAGAGTGTGGGGAAGACAAATAAAGGGAGGGAGAAGAGCTATTTAAGCTAAAGGATGATGCTGGCACAAGAACAAATGGGTATAAGCTGGCCATGAATACATTTAGGCAGGAAATTAGAAAGTTCCTAACCATTAGAGCAATCAGGTTCTGGAACAGCCTTTCAATCAGAGCAGTGAGAGCAAAGACACCAAACTGCTCTTCAGATAGAGCCAGATATACTTATGAAAGGGATGATTATAGGACACAAAGCCTGCAAGAGCAGCAGATTGGGACTCAGTGGCCCAAAAGGTCCCTTCCAGGTCAGTGTCCAGAAAGTGCTGGGCTGCCAATTTGTCAGGTATCACAGCAGCCTTCTGTGGCCCTAGAAGCCAGCACCAGGGCTGA